CTAGGCACCCGGTCCAGCCCTGGGCTTCGGTGCCGCTGCGGTCCCGCGCGCACCAGCAGGGAGCGCCGCGCGGGCCTCGCTCACCTTCGCTGTGAGGCTCTGCACGCAGGTGGCGGCGCACAAAGCTCGGCGAGCTGTCCGAGGAGGGCGCGGAGCGCGGCGGCGAGCAGGAGGCGGCGGCCAGGCCCTCGTGCGATGCGGCGTTGTGCAGGGGTCGGTAGCGGGTGAGCGGCGAGGGTGGCGGCTCATCCTCATCCAGGCTGCGCCGCAACCCCGGAGGCTCCAGGCAGAACGAGCCCACGGCCGGAGACCCTGGGCCCGAGTGCAAAGGCGAGCGCAGCCGGTGCAGGGGGCTCCCGCAGCCGTCGGTCACCTGCGGGAGGGGCAGCCGCTCACCGCCATCCCTCCTCCCCGCTTCCCTGAGGGGCTGGGCGCCAGGCTCCCCCTGTAAACTGCACGGGAGCCTTTGAGGCATCTTTCGGGGGACCTCGAGGGGGTTCTGCCCATGCGGGCGGAGGGGTGGCTGGGCAGTGCGAGGTGGGAACAGGGGCAGTCAGTCACATAGGCTGGGGTTGAATCCCACCTCCTTCCATTACTGTGTGACTTTGTGACGGAACCTCTGAGCCTCCGTTTTCTCATCTGTAAGATGAGGATGATAATCTCTTCCTTAAGGATGAAATGAGCCAAATGTGAAGGTAGCTACAGCTTGTGAGCATTATTAGATCAGAAGCCTGGGTGTGTGGCTTCCCTGGAAGAGGGTTTGGAGGGGCTCTCCAGGGGCAAGAAGAGTGGGTGGGGTGTGTGTGATTGGGTGGGCGGCCCCAACCTTGCCTCCGGGCCCATCGGAGCCTTCACCATCCTCCGCAGAGCTGGCACTGTCCCGAAGCCTGGAGCGGGAAGGCCGATGTCTACGGCCTTTGGCCAGCAGTTGGGCCCGGGCTTTGTGTAAACTGCTGTCCAGTCTGACGGTCTCTGGCACAGCCAAGTCTAGGTCTGCAAACCGGGGGGAGGAGGCAGAGACCAGATGCATGAGGACCGCAAGCCCAGAGGCCCACCTCCAGTGGCCACCTGCACTCACGCCCCAGGCATTCAATGAATGTTTCCGAGTGCCAGGCACTGGGAGTGCAGATGAGATGGGAAACGGTCTCTCTCAGTCTCCGGGGAAGCAGACACGTCGGCACATAGATACAGCCGGGTGATGGAACCCCTCACAGGCAGGGGGGGACAGGACCGCCCTGGCTGGCTGGGTCAGAGGAGGACACGCCAGGGCTGGGTCTTAAGATCTGCATATGCCAGGT